AGTGTAATGTAACTCACAGTGCATGTGAGACGGCAGCTATTTATCATTATTATTAACGAACAAGATCCCTTGTACGGCAGAACTTTCCCAGAGTCTATTCCCTTGTCACCCCAGGAGTAGCAGAAAGATTTATTTGTCTCTGAATTGCACAGGGTGGCCCATTTACAGCAGGTCCATCAGAAGTGATGTGGAGCTTAAATGGGGACTGGAAGATCAGGGCCTGCCCTGCCCCTGACCTGCAGTGGCGTGGGCCACCTGCTGAGAGGGACAACCTGGCAGGTGTAAGGGTTTTGAAGGGGATGCTGCATAAACACACTCCCCGGTCCCCTGAAGGCACAGGCAGTGCCTTTTGGGAGACTTCCTTTGAAATGGCCCAGAGCCATGAGGGAGTAGGTGGGACTGGGCAGGGGGCCCATGGGGGATGGGGTGCTGGAAGCAGAGTAGGGGCAGAGAAGTGGGCCCAGAGGCCTGCTCAGGAGCAGGAGTAATCATGCCCCCTGGGGCCTTTCCTCCAAAGACCAGAGCTGCTCTTCTCCAGTAAGAAGGTGGACCCAGGGCCAGTTTCCATAATGAACGTTTAGGGAGAGGTTGCGCGAGAATAGGACAGGCCCGACACCCTGCTGAAATGGGCTTTTTGGCACTGTTTGCACATCTCTGGCCCACCGTTCTGTAGATCTCGAACCCCAACCCACACACCAGAGAAGCACCTTCCCCCTGGTCCCCTGTTGTCGGACAGCAGAGCCTGGCTTTGCTGGGCATCTCTGCTCTAGGCCTGTCCTGCTGATTGTGTCAAGTCCATGATCAAGCTGTCCCCTACCCATCCTGCCACCTCCCCACCTGCATGCTGATAATTGCCAGTGACCTGAGTGGATTTGCATGTTAAAAGGAGTGTCTGGGGACACTTAAAAAGAAGAGGGAGCCTGCATTCATCCGGGTGGCTTTATTCTTCTCCCCATTATAACCTCCCAGCCTCGTGTCTGCAGGCACTGTGCCCTCATTAGCATTAGGAGCCGTGGCCTGGAGCTTTGCTTTCTGTGGCCCAGCTATGTGCATTAAAGGGGCAGAATCCCAGCAGGAGAAGGTCGGGGTGAGCCTGGGGCAGAGCTGCAGGAATGAGGAAGCTCTGCCCATGGCTGGGCATGGGCTGGGGGTCCCAAGTGGGGGCAGGGAGCTGAGACCCATGGGGGCCGGTGCGAGCAAGGGGGGTGCCCACAGGAAGGACAGCACAGATAGGATCACAGCATCACAGCCTAGGGCAGGAAGTGGAGGCAGGTGGGGCGGGGCTTGTGAAGACCAGGGCTCCCATGGAGGCTCTTAGGGCCTCGTCTCCATTTTTTCCCTTCACTGTGCTCTGTTCCCCTCACTACAGATGGGCTCCCTCTGACTGCCGTGGCTTCTCTGCCACCCTGTGATTGTGGCCTCTGTGTGGCTTCTGGTCTGTCATGGTGCCCACTCCAGCCCTAACAAGAGATAGCAAAGATCTTCTTTTCAGATTCCCACAGAAAATTGATGTAATTTCCGAGGCTGCATCTGATTGGCCTGCTTGGGTCAGGTGGTTACCCCTAGACCAATCAGATGCAGCCTGGGTCTGAGGTCACATGGACAAAGATGGCTGACGAGATCCCTTCCCTTGCGCAGAGGTGTGGCCATTTGGAGCAGCGTCTCTTGGACCAGGGTGGGCAGGGAGGCAGCTGGCGGCATCTCCATGGGTAAGGTGGAAAGAGCGCTATAAATGAGTTAAGGCTCCCAGTTTCTACGCACAGGCTCTGCCATGAACCACCCGTGGAACCTGGAGCGAGACACGCCTCCTCTCCGGGCTCACTTTTTTTACCTATAAAATGGGAAGGCTAGACTGAATAATCCACAAGGTCGGTCCAGCTCCTACATTTGAGCCATCCCATAGTGGTGCGTGGTCAGGACTGGCCTTCTCCTTTAGGAGCTTCCCTGGCCCCCAGGTTCCCCTCTCACCCCTGATTTGGATCCCACCCCTCATATCCCGGGCTCTCAGACCCATCTGGGAGGGGCTGCTGAGGCTCTCACATCCTCACCCTGTCTGCGTAGCCACCAACCAATCGGTGGAGATGTCCCCTTTCTGAATTTTAAGGTTCCCATGTGTCCAAGCTCATGGAAAAGAGATTCATTGTCTGTTTACACTATTTCTAATATTTCTCCCTTTAAGTGGGGCTCATCTCACCCTGCCTAGGATAGTATTTTATTACTATAATAATAGTTGCAATTACCATTTATTGAGTATTGCTCAATATTGCCATGCGCCTGGCCCAGAGAGGATATTTTTTAATTTTCTTCACACCTTATCTCATACAATTCATTCTCACAACAACCCTAGGAAGTAGGTACTGTAAACAGCTCTATTCTACAGATGAGGAAACTGAGGCGAAAGAGGTTTAACAGCATATGTCTGAGGTCTTCCACTGGAAAGGCCCGGACTCAAAGTTAGGGAGTCGGACTTGCTCTGAGCCACCAGGTTTTACTGCCCACAGTATACTTGGAAACCCAGATGCACCTGGCCCTGTGAAGGAAATCTGCTTGCGTTCAGGCTACAGATCTATGTGCACATCTGTGCATTTCCACAGAACAATAGCTGGGTGTTCAGAGAAGCCCCCCGTGTATGTGCTGAGCGTCCCCTCACCCCCATTTTCCTGATAGAGCATGGTGCTGAGGACCCGAAATGCAGGAAGTCAGCGTTCTTTTCTCTCCAATAGCTCGTCCCTTCTAAGTGTATGAATGGCTCTTTGCCAGGCCTGCTAAAAACCTTTCCTAAGTTATGCAGAAATTAAATGGGTTTTCACTGCAGGGCATGAAACATAATCCAAGAAGGTCAGACACAGGGACTATCACTTCTTTTCCCACTTTTCTACCGTTTCCTGGATTGTGCTCTTCAAGCCTCTGATCAGAAGCATGGAAAACCTTTGCCCTGGACCACGTGGTATGGATGCGTAAAATGTCCTTGCCTCCCTGAGGCCAGGAGCTGGAGAGCTGACATCTCGTGGGAGCCATTGCTCTCCCCTGGGCACTGGCTTCATATGGAGGGTGTTGGTTGATTGGCTGAGTGCTCTGATATGCTGTGTAGCTACTGTTTTCTAATACTGAATTCACAACGTGGCCATCCCTTCTTGCGGCAGGAACGGTGGGCCCCCACAGAGACTTTTGTTTGTGGATTTGTGGGGCTAGCTCTTGCTTGTATGTGTGAGCTAGAGGTGGGGGGAGAGGGAGCAGGAGAGAGAATCTGAGAAAGATCTCCTTAAGTCTGGCACCACCCTGGTGAGCATGTCAGGACAGGGCTGGCTGTACTGAGCTCAGTGCCAGGGGACTTCAGTCCCTAGGGCTGTGCAGGTGGTGAATCAGGGTATGTGCTTGCAGGATGCCTGTATCCGTCAGGGTCCTGGCAGGAAAAAGCTCATCGCAGGTAGTTCCAGTAGAGGCATTTCCACGAGGAGACTACTCACAGAGGGGTGGGCGGGGCTGGGGAACATAAGGGAGGTTGAGGCACCCAGGGATTAGCAACAGTGGGGAGCTCTTACACCCATAGGGCTAAAGAGAGAAAGGGAGGAAAATAGTGTTACTAGAGCCCACTGACAGCTGGAGCTGGGGAGGAGAAGGTGCTGGGCTGGAGCTGGAAGGAGTGGGGAAGTAAGACCCCAAACCTTTTCTCCTCCTGCTTTCTGAGCTCCTTCCAGAACCTTCCATTGGCAGAACCCAACTGGAAGCCAGCCAGCAAGGGAGCCTGGAGGTGCCATGCATTGAGGACCTGGGGATAGGGGGAGGCAGAACAGGGTACCCAGCGGGTCGTGACAGGGGGAGGGGGGCAGGCAGGGAATGCCCAGGATGGTCCTGTTGCTATGGGGGCTTCTTGACACCTCCTTGCCCTACCCTTGAAGGGAACCCTTGTTGGCACCCTCTAGAAGCCATTCAGACTTTAAAATCACAACTGCCATCTTCTCAGCACTTACGTGCTGGGATGTTTACACCCATGAACGTATGTAGTATTCACATGAACTCTGTGAGATAGTATTAACCTCAGTGTACAGAGAGGGGATTAAGGATAGAAAAGATTAAATAATTAACCCAAAGATACGCAGTGAGGTTAGGATTCCAACAAGTGGTCGGTCCATCCCTGAAACCCTAGCACTTGTCTGCCCCAACCCCTTGTAGACCTGATTCTCTCTTGGAAGGAATAAGCCCCTTCCAAGCAGCCGAGTCGGGGAGGGCAGACCTGGCAGAGGAGAAGCATGTTCAGAGGCCCAGAGGCCTGAGGGAGCCCGCTGGGGTCGAGAGACACAAATCGCTCTACTTTTATCTACACCAGGAGATAGAATGTGAAGGGGAGGCAGGGCCGACCACAAAGGCCTGCGTTCTGTGCAGAGAGCACTGGGGAGTCACGGCTGGTGGGGAAGAGGGGGCCTCTCGCTGCCTGCGTCCTGTCCCCAGAGGACAGAGGGGTTGGAATGGGCAGTTATGAGCCTGTCCGTTCAGCCCCACACGTGCCTGCTGATGGGGGCCAATTAGGAAGAAGTCATGGCCCCTCCGTGGCATTGCTCTCTGGAGGCCCCTTCCAGCCTGGTGGGACCCTACAGAGAACACTCCTGCCTCTGGCATGTGGTTTGTCGTCCCCTGCGTGAAGGACTGCCAGGAGGTCCCCGAAAAAGAAGCCTGTGGCTTGGACAGCCAAGGGGCATTGGACAGAGGAAATGAAGCCGCCGAGAAATGTGTTTGGGGACCGAAAGGGCCCTCATCCAGAACTCCAGGATGAGCAGATCATCTTTGGAGCTGGTGCTCTTATAGCCACTAGGAGGCCATTAAAAAAAAAAATGGATACTGCATTTTGAATTCCTCTGAACCCTCCTAGAATGAAAATGACAAAGCCTGGGTCTGGTTGGCTGGAGGGCTGTGGTTCATGGACTCCGGGGGACTGGTCCCTGATGAAGGCAGCTGCTCCAAGCCGTGGCTCACCCTTGCATTTGCTTTGCTGTCACCCCCAGAACACTCCGGTGGGGACGCCCATCTTCATCGTGAATGCCACGGACCCCGACTTGGGTGCGGGCGGCAGCGTCCTCTACTCCTTCCAGCCCCCCTCCCAGTTCTTCGCCATCGACAGTGCCCGGGGCATCGTCACGGTGATCCGGGAGCTGGACTATGAGACCACGCAGGCCTACCAGCTCACAGTCAACGCCACGGTGAGTCGCCACCCTGGGGCCCCGGCAGCCAGGCGCCTGCCTCTTCCCACCCTCAGAGAGAGCAACGGGGCATCCAATGGGACTGAAGGTTCGTTGCTGAAGGTTCGTGCTGCGTCTCTGGCACTGTGCTGAGCGCTTAAACGGACCCTCTCCAGTAAATCTCAAGCAGTCCCACGTCATAAGTGTCATTAAGATGCCCATTTTAAAGATAAGAAAACTGAGGCACAATAGCAATTCACTGACTTGCCCATAGTCACCCAGGAGCCCAACGTCAAGGTCTGCTCTGGTAACCTCCTTGGGACATTCACAGTGCAGGGCACCTCTTGCTCTCTGGGACACAGGATGGAGGTGTCCACCCAGCTGTGTCCTGACACCACCCAACTTGCAGGAGCCAAGGGCCTCTTCTCCCCAGAGTGGTGACACTCACGCAATAGGGAGCATCCATCTGTGCCAGGAACACTACTGGCCCCTGGGAATCCCAGGCTGTGTTAGTCTAGGATGGCAGGCAGGAGAGAAGTGCTTATGCCATGTTATGGCTGACTCTGTTGAGACTCACACAGCCGATGAACAGTGTGGAGGGCGAGAACCCAAACCCGGGTTTTCTAACTCCCAGTGCAGTGCTCTGACCACCATGTCCCATGGCCAGGAGTCTCTGGATCTGTAGGACATCACAGCTTGGCCTTTGTTGCCAGCTGTTTGTGGGGCCTAGAGGACAGGCAAGCCACAACCTAAATAAGATCCTAACCTGCAGTACCCTCTTCCCTGCTCCTGGATGCTGCCTTAGGGCACAGCTGGGGCCATCAGCTGGCAGCAGAGCCAGAAGTTGACCTGTTGTCCCTTAGATTTTTATTTCCAAAGCTTGGTCCTAGCAGCCAGCCTGGGCATAATAGCAAGACCGCATCTCCACAAAAAAATTTTTTTTTTTTTAATTAGCCAGCCATGGTGGTACATGCTTATAGTCTTAGCTACTCAGGAGGTTGAGGCAGGTGGACCACTTGAGCACAGGAATTTGAGGCTGCAGTGAGCTATGATCATGCCATTGCACTCCAGCCTGGGCAACAGAGCAAAACCCTGTCTCAACAAACAAACACTGGGAGGCCTAGGTAGTCAGATCGCTCAAGGTCAGGAGTTCGAAACCAGCCTGAGCAAGAGAGAGACCCCGTCTCTACTATAAATAGAAATAAATTAATTGGTCAACTAAAAATATATAGAAAAAATTAACCGGGCATGGTGGTGCATGTCTGTAGTCCCAGCTACTTGGGAGGCTGAGGCAGGAGGATTCCTTGAGCCCAGGAGTTTGAGGTTGCTGTTAGTGAGGCTGATGCCACAAATGACAGATGACACTCACATTCTTTCCTTCTCTGCTAGTTAAGTATTGGTATCCTGGGAGGGTGGGTGTGTGTACTGCTGTTTATAAAACTGACTCCTCGGGTCAAGGGGACTTGCAAGCCCAGAATTTGCTTTTTGCGCCCGCTTGCCTGCACTTTCCGCATGCCCTTGCACCCACACGCTGCTCTCCCCCACCCTTCATTTGCACACGCCCGGCCCAGGAACAGGCAGATGCTCAACTTCTTTCACTGCGAACCCTTTCGCTGTGGGATGATTTTCTTCTACCATAACAATGGCTTTGGGCCCTGGGGACTAGACCAGAGCTGGGCACAGGTAAGAATCCAGGTGGCTGGGCCTGCCAAGAGGCCTGGGCTCAAGCGGAGATGATGAATGCAGTTAAATTGCTGTTAATCTCCCAGCAGTCAGGAGTAGAGGACAGGAGAGGCACTGGAAGTCCCTCAGCGCACGGCTTCCCACTCACTCCTGGATGAGCTGACACCACAAGTCCCTCTTGGGGCTGGCACTGTGCCCCTGGCTGCTGGGCATTTCCACAAGGAGATTCTTCTGCACAGCGTCCCAGGGAGCAGTGTGGGTTCCCAGCCACCAGTGTGTGGGTACCAGGGTGAGAACAAGCTGCTGAGAGTCACAGGCCCCAGAGTCACAGCTGTAGCCTGGCAGAATGCCTGCCCCTCCCCCCCCAGGATGTACCCATTACTGTCCCCTTTCCCCACCACAGAGTCCAGGGTGGGCTAGACAGGGGTGTCTGTGGCATGAACAGGATGCAGCCACAGGTGTGGGATGGGGGGCTGTGCCAGGATGGACAAAAGCCAGCTGCCCACAAAAGCCTGGTGATGGCAAATCAGAACCACTGGCATCTACTGGGGGACTTGTTCTGAGCCTCGTCACTCTGGGCCCATGTGCCTGGAGGCCGTCCCTGGCTGGGAGCTCTCCTGTGGGCAGTGCCCAAGCCTGGGCTGTGGGCTCCCTGGCCTTGAGCCTGATAGGCTGTCTCCCCACAGCCCTCTGCTCAGCTCCTGTTTCCAGAATCTCCTCTCCCTGCTGTACCCACTGCCTACCCCTGCAGCCCCTCCCACCATCTTCTGGGCTGCCCCGAGGACCCCTAAGGACAGCCAGCCCTCCCACCTCCTAGGCACTGCAGCTCTCTCTCTGGTGGGCGGGAGCAGGTGCCAGGCTTGTAACATCAGTCCCTTGCATGGTTCAAGACAGACCAAGGGAGAGAATCTACAAGCCCAGGGTCATTCAGTTGAGCCCTTCATCTCACAGAGAAGGACACTGAGATTCCAGGAGGGAAGATAATGCATTTGAGGTCACTCAGCAGGATAAAGACTGAGCTGTTGTTAGAGCTCAAGTCCAGACTGTTAAGGGCAAATTTTTATGCAAAAGGACCTGAGTTTGTGTCCTGGCTACACACGTACCAGTTGTGTGTCTCTGGGCAAATTACTTAGCCTCTCTTAGTCTCTGTTAACTGATTTGAATAATATTAATTTTAGGAGACGAGAGTCACAGTGTTGCCCAGGTTGGAGTCAGTGGCTGTCCATAGGTGCGATCACAGCTCACGGCAGCCTTGAACTCCTGGGCTCAAGCAATCTTCCTGCCTCATCCTCCCGAGTAGCTGGGACTACAGGCTCATTAGTGAACTTTTATAGGATGAAATTCCAGCTAACTTTGCCTGCCTAGCCACAGGGGCATGGGCTGCACAAGCTCTAGGGACTCCTTCCTAGAGCCCCCCAGATGTCGCAGGCAATGGAGCGCCCCCTGCTGGTTTGACTGAGAAAATCACCTGACTGGTAAATTCGTAGCCCAGAGCAGGGACGTGGGTCCCAGAGTAACCCTCTCTGTGGCCAAAGGGTCTTTCTTGTGAGGAGTCTCCATCCTACTCAGTCCCCTGCTGCCCTGGGATGAGGAGGGCAGGAAGTGGGCACAGAGAGGGGCAGTGGCCCCTAGTGGAACACAGCAAAGTGGCTGAGGACGGCACCATCTCTTTACCCCAAGCCAGTCACCCACCAACAGACGTCCGGGTGGCCAGGCTGGCCCAGTGGCGCAGGACATCTGGCTCTCACCCAGCCCTGCTTTGTGACACTGGGCAGGCCACATTCCTCTGGGCCTTGGAGGCCCGGTTTGTGTTTTCCTATACAGCTCAGGAACCCTTATAGGTTCTTAGAGTTCTTAAGCTTCCTCTTACTGAGCCCTTCCCTACAGAAGTGCAAGAGCACATGTGTGTGTGTGTGTGTGTGTGTGTACACATTTGTGCATACGTGTGTCACACATTGCAGGTCTCTGTGTGTGCCTGTGTGTACATATGTGTTTGTGTGTCCACAATATCACTCAACCTAAGGCTGTGTACTTTCTCTGTTCCCGAAGGATCAAGACAAGACCAGGCCTCTGTCCACCCTGGCCAACTTGGCCATCATCATCACAGACGTCCAGGACATGGACCCCATCTTCATCAACCTGCCTTATAGCACCAACATCTACGAGCATTCTCCTCCGGTAAGACCCCCGGCCCTGGTGGGGGTATGGGCTCCCCCTTGGCTTGCCTCCCCCGCAGCTCCCAGGCACGGTGGTGATGGGTGCTCTAGCACAGTGAAACCCCAACCCCTCCTCACCCCACACCCCACCTCACCCTCTTGTCACCCCAGAGGGCTCCCTGGGGCAAAGAACAAGGCTTGCTAGGGAAGGTGTGCATGGAGAGGGGTGGAAATGCCCGTGGAAAATCCAGCCAGGGCCAGAGGGTGGATCTGGACTCAGTCAGGCTCCACAGAACATCAGTGTGGCTCAGCCATGTCCCCTGCAGGTCAATCTGTGTCTCTCGGCCCATCAGCACCACCCAGGATGGCAACAGCTCGCCCTCCCCGAGGGCACTGGCTCTAGCTGCTGTCCCTAACTGCTCAGTCTCAGGATTTCTCAAGCCCAGGTTTCCAAGAGAGGCTCCTGATTTTGTGCCATGTCACAAAGTCATAGGTCGCTAGCCAGCCTGTAGATCGGCTGCCATTGGGCCACGTGTCCACCCTGGCCCAGCCAGCTGGGACTGTGCGTCTTAGAGAACAAAGCACATGGCTGCCCACTCCCAGGGGTGTGGGTAGGGCAGCTTTTCTCAGCTGTGGCCAGGCAGACAATGACAGGCATCCCGAGTCTGATGGCCATCCGTGCTTCTGTGCAAACTAGAACGGAACACCTGCCTGGGCTGATAATTTAGAAAAGGCACTTCCTCTGGGCAGACATGACTCCTGACATCAGCTTGGGGAACAGAATTCGTGGGAACAAAAATGTGCCCCTTCTTTTGAGGGAACTTCAGGGAAGCTTGCGCATGCTCAGGGCCCGCCTACATTCCTGCTCTGCTCACAGAAGTGAGCTTAAGTGGCAGGCAGGCAGGCATGCAGGCTTCCTTTTTTTTTTTTTTTTTTATTTTCTGAAAATCTTAGAGGATGCAAGTGTTGTTTGTTACGTGGAAGTCAGGGTTTTCAGTGTGCCTGTCACCAGAAGAGTGTGCATGGCACTTGACAGGTAGATTTTTATCCCTCACCCCTCCTACCCTCTCCCCCTGTCAGTTTCCAGTGTCCATTGCAGCTCTTTATGACCACATATACCCTTCATTTAGCTCCCACTTGTAAGTGAGAACATGTGGTATCTGTTTGTCCATTCCTAAGATGCTTCGCTTAGGATAATGGTCTCCAGTTCCAGCTAAGTTGCTGCAAAGGACATTATTTCGTTCCATTTTGTGGCTGAGTAGTACTCCGTGGTGTGTGTGGTATGTATGTGCATCGCAGGCAGGCTTCCTGTCACCGGGTGCACACTGTGCCCCGGGGCCTGACCCCCAGCTTGGAGATCGTGGCTATCCCCACCCCTGGCATCCTTGACTTGGCTGCTTCAAAGTGCTAAGCTCAGTCTCCTGGTGTGTGGGACTAGCATTTGGCCACTCCCTTCTTGGGGCTGGCCAGCTGTGGATGGAGGATCTTAACAAGCAAATTTGCTAATGCAGATGTTTGGCGCTGCTTTGAGAGCAGAGGGAGATGTCTCCCACCACCAGCCTTCTATTTCTTGGCATCCTATGGACAAGAAAGCCCCAGCTTTTGAGACTGAAGACTGTCCCTGCTCAGCCTGGCCCAGCTCGCCTCCCATGACTTCCCCAGACCCCTCTCTCTCTGCCCCCACCCCACGTTTCCCAGGCTGACATCCCCGTGTCGGGTTAGACCTGACATGCTGTTTTCAGACAAAAACGATCTGCACCTGCCCATGAATGTCCCCAGGGTGCTCAGGGTCCTTGCACAGCTTGCCTGCTGCACTGAAGTCTGCTGGGGTGTAGCACACAGTGGGTGCTCAGGAGGTGTTTATGGGATGGGTGAGTGAGCAAGTGAGCCACTGCCCTGGCAGGCCAGCGCTGTCCCCATCCTGCACCCTCCCCACCCTTCACGCCTACTCTCATTGCCGATCCAAAGTCCACCCATCCAATTCACTCTTCCCCTTTCTTAGAATTTTTTCTTGACTCCTTCCCTGCCGGTCCAAGAGGTGGTGATCCTGCTCCCTCAGCTCTGGTAGAATCGACTCTCTCCGTGCCGCGTAATTTTCCACGTAATTATAGTCTCACCTGTAATGTTCTCCTGTGTATGTGGGTGTCCTGACTCTGGGAGTTGCACAGTGCCCTGGGAGCTCAGAAGTAACCCGTGTTGTTTGGGTCTCCCAGGGTGTCATGCCCAGGACCGAGTGCAGAGAAGGTGCCCAAAGCCAATTCGATTGAAGTGGGTGGCCGGGCAGCCAAAGATGATAAGATGTGCGTGCTGGCAATTATAGGACATTAAACCACGGTGGGTGGTGACCTGGTCAGTCAGTAGTTATCGTGGTCAGATGGGGTTGGGGCTCCCAGCCTCAGCTTCCTTTCAGAGGTGCAGTAGTTGGCAAGAAGGGTGTTCTTGGTGTGTGTTTGTCTAGCATCCCTGTCTCTTAGCAGAGCAATCCTGAATTAAACTAGTACGCGTTTTTGTTCCAGGTCTGCAGATTTGAGTGTGTCCATCCATTCACTCTGGGCTTCATTCTTTTATTCATCCGTCAGCATGTATTAGACCCCGCCTGTGTGCAGGCCCTGTGCTAAACCACACCCTCTGTTCTCCAGATGATTCCACGGCTACTGCTAGCTGACCCTCAGTCTGGGCAGACCAGACGCTGGCCTGCCTTAGCGCCTAGTCTCCTCACACTTGTCCTTAGCGCCTCATAGGATCCTCCTCTCTCGGGCTCAGGGATCTTGATGTCTCTTTGACTTGCCAGAGTTGTCCTTTGTCCCCCTCAAGAACACTAAGGCCAGTGCCTGGGCAGCTGCCGGATGCCCAGTCTGGGAGGGCAGGTCTGAGCCCCACCGGGAGGCTTGTGACTGGGCTGGGGAAGCCAGAGAGGAAGTCATTCTGGGCTTTCAGCCTGCCCCGGGCCTGGTCTGGCCCTCCTGGCACCCACAGAAGCATCCTCTGTGTCCAGGCACCTGCCTTCCCTGCCTTCTCCACACCTTTTCCCGGCTTCTAATTGGTTTCTGCGCCTGGATCTGGGCCCTCCCTGTCCCTTTACGGTGGGTGCGGAGCCCCGATTTAGCGCAGCAATCCACAGGCCAGGCCAGGCTGCAGCCCACGTGGCCTCTCAGCCTCCCCTCAGGGGGACCCCGGCGCCCACACGCCCAGCCTCTGCTGCCGGGGCCATTCGGACCTTCCCCACGCTCCCCGCCCCCTTTATCTGCAGCTCCCAGCATGTGCCTCCCCGTATCAGCGCATCGGGCGAGCGTGCCTCATCGAAAGTGTATATATTACCTAATAAAATCCTTCTTATTTGGGATTATTGCATCAGATTTTAATTTCCTCACTCGAGCAGCAGCATGTCGGCCTGCCCGTCAGTGAAGGACCGATAGAAGGTGAAAAGAGCGGATAAACTGCACAAATTACTGCCAGCCGATGCCTATCAGCCCTTTGACTGGAATTGACTGGAATTAAGGACTGAGAAATAGGATTTTCTACCTCAGAATGTGCTGTGGCAGCTCTCGTCGGAAGTCCCCTTCCACCCCCGAGGCCTCCCCACCACCGGGGGCGCCTCCCACTCCCGAAGCTAACTGCGCGTCCACCTTTCAAGTCCTTAATCCTGTCATGGAAGCGGGCTGGGGCGGCTCAGCCGGGCTGGCAGGGAAGGAAGAGGATGTGGACCCCTGAGGCTGGGCGCGGCCTACCCGGGCCCCTGTGTCACGGCTCTCCTGGCCAGGGCTCCTGGGAAGGGGACAAGCGAAAAAAGGGAGAGGACACGGTCCCTTCTGGAGGACACGGTCCCTTCTGGAGAAGTCCAGCTTCTCTCGACAGTGGCCTCTTTCCCTGCCGGTGCCCAGGCCTCCTAGGCTGGGGCTGCATCCAGCCCTCTCGGCATGCTCACGGCGTGCAGGACCCTGCGCCTTCTCACTTCTGCCAGGGAGCGATGGGCTCCCCAGGTGACCCCCGTGGGGAGAGGCTCCCATTCCCCAGTCACCCTCACCCCACCCACTCACCATACCTCGTGACCTTCAGCAAACCCCTGAACCCTCCGGGCCTCCGTTTCCTCGCATGTACCTCTACTGTGCGGGTCGTGAGAGAACCTACCTGCCCCCCCACAGTGAGGGGAGAGAGGGAGGGAATGGCACATAGCAGGTGCTCAGCTAGTGCTAGCTCACCGTGGAGGCTGTTAGCTGTTCTTTTTTTTTTTTTTTGAGATACAGTCTCACCCACTCTGTCACCCAGGCTGGAGTGTCATGGCCTCAGCCTAGCTCACTGCAGCCTCAAACTCCTGGGTTCAAGTGTGATACTCCCACCTCAGCCTCCCAAGTAGCTGGGACTACAGGCACTCACCACCATGCCTGGCTAATTATTAATATCTGATTTTTTTTGTAGACCTGGGGTCTCCCTATGTTCTCAGGCTGGTCCTGAACTCCTGGGATCAAGTGATCCTTCTGCCTCGGGCTCCCAAAGTGCTAGGATTACAGGTGTGAGCCACCACTCCCAGACCAGATGTTCTTATAATGCACAGAAAACTCCCTATCTCTAGGGTGGAGAGGATTAACCTGGGGTGTTAGGGAGTTTGAATTTGCTGAAATTGTTTGGAAACGTCACATGTCTGTGCATTATCTGGGAAGAGGCACCTGAGTTTTCCTCAGATGCACCCAGCACTTCCAGGCCCCAATTAATAGTAACAGTTGCATTTATCGCATTTGGTGTGCGTCAGTGCTGTTCTGGGCGCTTTACATATATCAGCTGCTGAGGAGTGGGGACTGTGATTATACCCATTTTATAGATGGGGAAAACAAGGCAGTGAAAGGTTAAAAGTGACTTACTCAATGGAGTCAAATGCAGGCAGTCTCGTAACAGAGTCAGGCCCTTGGCCATCTTGCTCTACTCCTCCTTCCCTCCCATCACAGGAGGCAGGACGCCCAGGCCTGCAAATCGTTAGCCTCTTTGGAGAGATCCTCATTTCCCAGGAGGCCTCTTACTCCCTGAACATGGGTTCCCCTGGAGAGAAGAAGCCGTGGCAGATTGGACCCCATCTTGAGCCCTTCAGCTGGCCCTGAGCCTGCCCGTCTGCCTTCCTGGCTGTGCCCTGGTGTGCTCCCCAGCCAGGGAGGATCCCTGGAGGACCACTGTGGGCAGAGCAGGGCCAGCTCTGGGCCGGGCGAGGCCGCACTTCTCTATCCCCTCGTCTTTAGAAAGAAGTTTCAGTATATTGAAAATATAATCACTGAGACTGGAACAAGAGCCGTGGGTTCCCAGGAGCCCCCGTTCCTCCCTGTTAATTCCTTCTCATAACATTTCCAGTCTTTCTGGCTGCTCTTGTATTAAAAGCTCAGGGTTTTATTAAAAGTGGATTTATTTACCCAAAAAGAGATGAAACCCCAAAGTTTTCCAGGAGCCTGTCAGACCTTGCTTCGTGGAAGCTCGGGTGTGACCCTTCCGGGCAGAGGCCTCCTTGTCCCCCTGTCCTGGAGAGCCAGCTGGCCCCTCTGAGCCCGCCCACCTACAGGACTCTGGGCAGCCCAGCACCGGAATGCCCACGGGGAGATGCTCACAGGGGTCTAAGAGTTCTTTAGCCACCAGGTCCCTTCTTTTTTTTTTTTTTTTTTTTAAGACAGAGTCCCGCTTTGTTGCCCAGGCTAGAGTGAGTGCCATGGCGTCAGCCTAGCTCACAGAAACCTCAAACTCCTGGGCTCAAGCCATCCTACTGCCTCAGCCTCCCGAGTAGCTGGGACTACAGACATGTACCACCATGCCTGGCTAATTTTTTCAATATATATTAGTTGGCCAATTAATTTCTTTCTATTTATAGTAGAGACGGGGTCTCACTCTTGCTCAGGCTGGTTTCGAACTCCTGACCTTGAGCAATCTGCCCGCCTCAGCCTCCCAGAGTGCTAGGATTACAGGCGTGAGCCACCGCCCGGCCCAGGTCCCTTCTTTGCATAGGTCCACACTGGCCACCTTGTCTTGGCCTGCTAAGGCTCCCTGTCCCCCTAAGGCTCCCTGTCCCAGGCACTGGGCCTGGTTACCCTGGTAGGCCTGGAGCCAGTGGAGACCACTGGGAAGGGCAGCAGTGCCTGGGGAGGAAAGGTGGTGCCTTCCCCTGCTGTGTCCTGGCAGTGAGACTGGGAGGAGTTGGGGAGGGGCACTCCCCCCGGGTAGAGGGCCTGTGGTTGGGGAACAAGCCTCTCAGCACAGGAGATGGGGGTGGGGGTGCAGCACAGGCTCCAGCCTCCTGCTGATACATGGTGAGTGGACCAGAGGCAGCCAAGGCCACAAGAGCCCTTCATTACACAAGCAGATGCCAGGGTTGGTATTTCTCTAGAGGCTGGGGACAGGGCCTGTTCTGCTGTCCATCACCAGGGAAAGCTGCAGGCCAGGGCCAGAACCTCAGGCCAGCAGGGTGGGCAGGCACGCTGGCACGGGCAATGGTATGGTAGGGCCCGGAAAAGCAAGGTTAAGGCTGCCCTGGGCAAGGGGCAGCTTGGCAGGTGGTAGCAGTGATCTTAGGGTCCTCTCATTTGTCTGTTTATTCAGTCAATCAACCAGCCAGCCAATTGATGTTTGAATGTGCCCATTATATGTGAGGATCTCTTCCTAAGATAGTCTCATGCCTCCATGCCCTTGCCTGTACTGTATCTCCTACCTGGAAGACCTTCCTTTTCATTTTCTCTCCCTGGAAAACTCCTACTCATCCTTCATGACCCATCCTAAATGTCACCATCTGTGCAACCCTTTCCCAATTCCTCCAGGTGGACTTCTCCCCTGTTTCGTACATTTCTCCATCTGAGCCATATGTGTCTACCTGCTCCCCGTATGTGTGCACAGGTCCTGGACTCCTCACCAGACTGCACCCCCATCCTGGTAGTCCCAGCTGCTGGCCCTGCCCCCACCAGTGGGGGGTGAGGCAGAGCCACTGAGGCAGGAACCACCAGGAGCAGTGCTGTATGGGGTGTGGTTCCTAGGGCCATGGTGGCCTCCAGGGCTGCTGTGGTCATCCCTGGAGATACTTGCTCTCAGGACTTACGATGCTTTCATCCATAGAGTAATTGATCCATGATGTTCTCTTTTATTCAGACCACAGTGCCAACAAGGTCCCAGAGTGTGTGTTGTTAACCATACTAAGGTGGGGCAGACTGAGGCTGGAGGTCACACAGCAGCATGATGGGTGGTTGAGGTAGACACCAGATCTCTTGTCGCTTTGCCAGGTGCCCTTCTCTGTTCTTCTCCCATAGGTGGTTCATATGGAATGAGGGATGCAGGGAGGGGAAGGGGCAGTGAGAGCATCAGTGAGGCTGGGCCTCCCCATGGGATTGGGGGCGCTTGCCTGGGGGCTTCAGTGTGTGTCCCAGAGACAGTGGGGGCAGCTGAGGCCTGAGCACCTGGCACCTCCTTCCCAGGCTGGTCTTGCTGCCGGGAGTCAGCCTGGGGAGGGAAGCTGCAGTGCCACAAGGGCTACAGAGAAAGCGGCATAGGGGACCAAACTCAAGTCCCGCCTCTCTCCTACCCAGGGCACCACGGTGCGCATTATCACTGCCATCGACCAGGATAAAGGACGTCCCCGAGGGATTGGCTACACCATCGTTTCAGGTAAGGCAAAGACCGCCCCTGTGTCCTCCACCCAAGGAGCACCTCTGTAGGGGTCTCGGGCTCTGAGGGCCCAAGGAGGAGTCTGTGGGCATATGGGACAGTGTGTGAGACTATCTCTAGGGCCAGTCCTCACCAAAGGACCCAGGAGGGGGACCAGCTGCATGAAGGTAGGAGGCCAAGGTGTCTGGGGGCTGCCCAGGTGGCACCGGAGGGTGGGAGTGTGTGCCATGGTCCAAGGTCTGAGGCTTCTGGGCACTTTGGGGCTCTAAGCCTGGGGCATTGGTGACTCCCATCTAACCTCCTTCTGTGCTCTGGGTTTTCCTTTTCTTTTGCTATTTGATGAAAATGTAGCAGTTCTGACATCCTTTTAGAACAAATGGAGCAGCAGCTTCGGCTGATTTCATACTCTTTTCACATTTCCAACCACTGGGAATTCATGTCTTGTCTGGAAAGCTGCAGGGGGAGGCACATTAGTCCTCTCCTTCCCTACCCACATCCTGTGGCTGATGGGCAAGTGGCTGACTGCAGGGATGGTTCCCTGAGCCACGGTCCCACCAAAGTAGACAAAATGGCAGCTCTGTTTGGCTATCCAGGGCCAGGTGGTCTTGGGCAAAGTTGCTGGTGAGAGGTCCAGTAAGAGGCTGCCCCTCACCCGCACAGGCTCTGCTCTGCCCCCTGCTCAGCCCACGTGCTGGTGAAGGGTCAGCCTGGAGCATCTGGGCAGTCCAGACCAATGGCCAAGAGGATGTGAGGCCAACAGGCCAGTTTCTGCTCATTGCCCCTCCCTACCACACCCCCACACCTGCAAGAACAGGGAGTGGCGTTGTTGCAGCTTCTTCTCCCTAATGCTCAAAAGATAGCAAGGCATAGTGGTCAGGAATCTAGAGGATGGAGTCTCCTGAGACAGATTGGTTTTGGGTGGGTTCCTATACCTCAGTTTGTCTTCCATAAAATGGGTACAATAAGAGTACCTACCTCGAGGTGGTTTAAGTGTCAGATGAGGCTGGGTGTTGTGGCTCACACCTATAATCCCAGCACTTTGGGAGGCCGAGGTGGGAGAATTACTTGAGGCTAGGAGTTCAAGACAAGCCTGGGCAACACAGCAAGACCCCATATCTGCATAAAATAAGATAATTACTGGGCACAGTGATGCACCTATAGGCCCAGCTACTGGAGAGGCTGAGGCAGGAGGATCGCTTGAGCCCAGGAGTTTGAGGTCGCAGTGAGCTATGATCCCACCATGTACTCCAGCCTGAGTGACAGAGTAAGACCCTGTCTCAAAGAAAAAGGGGAAGGGTGTCAGATTATTAAATATAGGTAAACAGCTTAATTAATATATGTAAAGTACTTGGTAAGTGTTAGCTAATATTATTATTACTGCTAGCAGCTAATGCTACTTTGGGAAGCTAGGGGTTAGCTGGTGGGAGGGAGACACCTCACATCCTTGGGAATGCAGGAAATCAGGGGTATTGTGGGCTTCTGTGACCCACAGCTGTTGGCATGACTATTATTGTGCCCCTAAACCAGGGGCACCCCAGGACCCAGAGCAAATGCCAGCCCAGCACCGGTGGTGAGTGTCAGCAGGAGCACGGGTTTGGGCCTCCTTCCACCCCTCCCCACAATTTACCATTCTGGTGCCCAGTGTGGGACTCGGCATAGAGTAAACGTCAAATATGTACTTGTGGAATGAATGAATACACTCTACGGTGGTAATTTCTCAAACTCCAGCATGCCCAAGAATCACCTGGGGCTCCTACCACAAATGCAGAGTCCTTGGCCCCCACAGAGATTCTCGTTCTGCAGGTCTGGGATGGGGCCCAGGAATGGTCCCTTCTCACAATGCCCTGTGCAGGTGGTCCTAGGGCAGGATTTGGGAAAGCCAGTCCTCAGAAGGAGACTGTCCTGCAGGAGGGCAGGATGCCCCGGGAATGGGGGGCCCTTTCCAGGTGGTGCGGCAAGGAGGAGAGGCCCATCCTGGTGCTGATTGTCTTCAGGAATTTTGCAAGTTGGGACACAAAGCAGGTGCCTCCCAAGACCAGGGACTTTTGCTGAGGAACTGAGGAACACCAGGGAGTCCCCAGGGCGATGGAGTTAAGGCACCGGGATAAAGTGGCAGTGGGAAGGGGACTCGGGGCTGGGTGGGGAAGTGTCTCCTCATGTCCCCACTGTCTCTGGGCTGGTTCCAGATATACCCCAGTCTGGAAGGGGCCGGCAGCTAGGACCTGACCTGAGGGCATGCCAGACAGGAACTCGTGCAGTGCCAGGGCATCTGGGGACAGCTGCCTGCAGCACTACGGAGGGCATAGTCCCCTGGGCCAGGTTCCCAAGTGCAGACAGCAGAATGAGGAGACCTAGGATGTGAAACCACAGGGCAGGGATGTGTGTGGAGGTGGGGACAGGAGGCAAAAACTTCTGGAAGGCCTGGGACACTTAGCATAGCTTTATAATATTCCCACTGCCAGCACAGATGTGCCTTGGGGGCTTTTAGAAAGGATGACAAATGGGTTTTCTCTCACATGCCAACTTTGATTGATTGGTAATGGCTGCCTGAAGAGGATCCTAGAGCCAAACAGGCTCAGAGCAGTATTCAACTGGTCGAGTCTGCTGTGGGTATAGCAAGGGAGAGGGCGGCACCTGCACCAAGTGTTTGGTATCCTTGCTAAGTTAGCACTGGGACCACACCTACAGGGTGGCCCTTGATCATCCTCTGTTTACAGGGTGTTTGTCACCACCCCAGCCCGCCCAAACCCCTGTCGGATGAGGAGCAGCTGGAGGGAAGGGCCATCCTTCCTTTCCTTCCCTACCCACCCTGACTGGCTCCACTGGGCGCCCGGCCCCATTCTTGCCCCCCTTTGTCCTGGCCCTGGGCTGGCATAGTCTCCCCGAGAGCCAGACTCATTGGGAACCTAAAGCAGGCTGATGGGCAAGGAGGGTACAGTCCCAGGGGAGCAGGTGGACAGTGGGCCAGGATTTGGCCTCATCTCTACTTCCCTTGGCCAGTGTAGATGCTGCTGAAAAGAACACTGTCTGCCAAAGGCCTGCCTCACACACCTGCCCCTCAGCTGACGTTTGGTTGCAGCTCTTTCCTGGGTGGCTCGGCCAGTGCCCATTTAGCATGAAGCAGGCAGGAGCGATGGCTCATGTTCCCTGTCATTCCGAGGGCATCTTCACGGCACAGGAGGGATGAGGCCAGAGGGGGTGTCTGCTGAGACCACAGGCTGGGCTGGACGTCAGGGAGGAGAGTGCCTGACAGCACTCGAGCTGGCCCTGAGGGCCGCTGGGAGCCTGCCCCAGCCCTAGGTGCTCAGGAACCATCCTCCTTTGAAAGCAAGAACCGAGGTCCTCGAGGGGCCCCAGAGCCAGGTGAGGAGTCCTGAGGGCCACTAGTGTGGGTTACTCGAGTCTCCGACCACCTCAGGAGCCGGGGCTGTTGGTGGCTCTGTCTGCGTGTAGGTGAGGCCTGCCTGCCCCATGCAGGTGGACAGAGGCCTGAGCCCGCAGGGGTCCGTGGCACAGGTTAACCCACTCTGCTCCCCCAGGCCCGGGCCCCTCTGGGCTGTTTATCAGCCCCGCAGCCGCGGGGATTTATGTCTGCACACCAGTGCCTTCCCTATTACTAATGACCCCTCTGTTTTGCCAAGAACAAAGAGGCCTTCAGCCGTAAGTTATGGCTCCATTGCCATCAATTTGTTCTCAGCCCCTTGTGGCCAAAGAGAGACTGGGGAATGACAAGTTCTTTCCCACAGAGGACCTGGCATGGGCCCCATCTGCTCCCTCAGCCTGTACCTGCCCTGCCACCCACCAGGGGCATCATTTCCTTGGGGCCTGGCCAAAACAAAACGCCAGCCCAGCCTGTGGTCTCAGCACACAGCCCCTCTGGCCTCATCCCTCCTCTGCCAGACAGAGGCGGTCCTGCTTCAAGGGGCAGCTGCACCCATCCCACCCCAGAGCACTGGACTTGGAGCCTGAAATTATAGGTTTGAGGCCCAGCTCTGCCAGCAGTGTTCCAAGTGACATGTTTGACCTCTCAGCCCCATGGTAGTCACCCATGGAACAGGGTTAATAATCCCCACGGTGGATAAGATGGTGCTGGAGAGACTCTAAAGGGCCATAAAATGTTAAGGATTATTAATTACCAAGGAGTGAGCAGGACCCAGGGGTCCGTGGGAATTGTTTGTTCATTTCCTCCTTTGTTCATTTGCGTACAGAGTGTAGGCTGAGGCTCTGGGGCGCTGTCCATGGTAGTGACCGCCCGCTGGGCTGGTCAATATGGTTCGCCCATGTGGCTACTGAGATGTGGCTGCTCTGAATTGAGACGTGCTGTAAATGTGACACACAGGATCTTGAAAACTTAGTATGCAAAAAAAGATGATAAAATATCTCATTAAATAGTGCTTTACATTGATGACGTGTTGAAATGATAGTATTTTGCAAATACTGATTTAAATACAACATGTTATTTAAATTAACATCACCTTTTTCTATTTTTTGTAGCTACTAGAGAATTTTAAATTACACATGTGCTCACGTTCTGTTTCCGTGGGCAGCTGTGTTCTAGAGGTAGATTGCCTCGGCTTAGCTTCTCCACCAACCGCCTATGGTAACCTTCTAGGCATCCATTTCCCGTCTGTGAAATGGAGATAGTGGTGGCCCACGCCACACAGGATGCCGTGGGGAGTGAGCAAGCTAAAACAATCAGCCACTGGAAGAGCACCTGATTTTGTAGAAGTGCTCAACAGACATGGGCTCTTACCGCCCACCCACAGTTGACTGGGCCAGGAGCTTTTCTGATGACCTGAGAGCTGGTGGGGACCACGGCACCACCTGGCCTCAGGAACCTGCAGTTAGGTTGGAGACACTCACTCCTGTAAAGAGGCAGCTCCGATGCACTGGTGGGACTCTGTGCCCAGGCAGCTCGGGACACGTTGGGGTTGACATGGAGTGATGGCTCCCCTGGTTGGCGGGTGGAGAGGGGCATTAGGCTGTTCTCTCTACTTTTG